TCTATTACTTACAAAAATAAATGAAGAAATCTAATCTATTTAGTTATTACATACAATATGAATAAATAAATATTTTAACCAATTTTCAACAAATCAACACAAACAACAACACAAAAGGTCATTGATTAGTTTATGCACATCATACACATTTATATACTCAAAATTATATAAAACAACTCTTTGTTTTTCTAAGAAAACTCTTATAACTAAAAAGATGCATGTAAACTTTTAGTCATAAAATAACAATTATAAACTTTTTAAAAGTTGTCATAGAAAATATGTATGGATTTTTCTTGCAAAGAGAAATGTAACAATGTTTTCCAAAAACAAAGATTCCATCAACTTAACAAATAACAAAAGTAATCTTGCAAAAAATGTCTCTGCTACCAATTCTTGGGATTTTATTCAAAAATTGTTTCAAAAACATAAACATGGCAACGGAAGACTTTAGATTTGAACAAAAAAAACTAGTTTTATTTCCACCAAAAGATCATTTTGCGAGACTTAGAAAGATAAAAACAACCATAGAAGGAAAGCATTACAACCTTTGAAGACTTTAGTTTCTTTTAGCATTTAGGAAGTTAATAAAGATGGCTTTAAGCTCCAAGGAAGAATTTAGCCAACTTGATAAGATGCTAGTCTTCATCTTGTAATAAAAGAATCTCTTAAGCCTTTAAGAACAAAGCAAAGCTTTGGTTCTAAAGGAGAGTTCAAGTAAAGTATCAACTTCTTCCTACTTTGAGATTAACACTTTAATAGACAAAAATAGAGAGAATATAGAGGTTACAAGCTAAAAATTTTGTGGTTTTCACTTATGAAAGAAGAGTGAAAACCGGTTCCTTTAAGTCCTTACTTTAAGCGTTTATCCCATGGGTCTTAGCACTTTAAGACTCATGCTTTATCATATCAACTAGCCATGCTTTCTAAGAGCATGGTTTGATGAATAAATTAATCAAAAGAAAGTCTACTTTCTTCTTTATGCTCTCGTTGAATATTTTATAAAAAGAAAAAGCTAGTTTTTCTATAGAACTCTTCTAATTTTTATAACTTATAAAACATATAAATCCACATAAGAAAAAAAACACTTTTTGTCCAAAAAGATGTACATGACATACTACATCATACATTATGATATATTATGTTATGTTTTGATACTTAACATTTAAAATTAATATTTTCATGAAATTAATCATTTCCAATTAATTACAATAATTATATTTATTTATCAATGATCAAATTCTTATAAATAATATAAATACATCAAGTTGTTGTTAGAGTGTCCCTTTAGGATCATATATTATCTAGAAATATCATTCTATAATGACTCTCGGACATATAAATCTTTCATAAATATATTTACAATTATGCTTATTTTGTTCTTACATGTAATTTAAAAGGACATTGCTATTTATAGTAATATTATCGAGCTTGTTATGCCTATGGGCACTATTCTCCATCAGAATTTGAATCACAGCTGAAGTTGTTCAAGCCTTCAAGTAGGAGATTATTGGGGTATGAAATCTTGTCCAACATTTTGAGTACTTGGAACTCAATGGATCACTTGGAGTTAAATGGAGCATGTCACACAGGAACGAATCATTTGAGAAGGGAATGGTTCATATGAGAAAGGAACGGATCATCTGATAAGGGAACAAATCATCTTAAAGGGGGTATGGAGCACCTCTGAAAGGAGTAGAGCATCTTAGAATGTTGGATGTGTCATTTCGGAAGATGATATGCCACCTATAGACAAGGTGTGCCACTTTGGAATCAAGATGTGCCATATTGATGGAGGATGTGCCATCGTGAAGGAGGATGCAGCAACAAAAAGGAACATACGCCACTCTAGTGTGTCGTTGTCACACCCCGGCCGTCGGCGGAAACACCGGGCGGTGTAACGTCATTTCTCGTATCATAGTTATCAACTTCCTGAAAACACATGCATTTTAAAATATGTCAACATAAAGTTGGTGAGTCCACAGGTTTTGACTCCATATAAAAATAATACATTTTCCAAGTTCAAAAGTATAGTTTTGAAAGTATCATTTTGACTCTCCAACTTCTAGTATATATATCCTAGGTATAAAAGTTTACCTACCAAATAAGTAGTTTACCTATAAGTCTCATATACTATGAATATAAGTGTTTGTAATTCCATACAAATGAAAGTTGCTACGTATAAATCTTATTTCAATTCTATACGAGTATGTGTGTTAGGTATAATTATCTACTTAATATACAAGTAGTACCTAGGGTATAAGTAGGGGGAAACTTATACTTAACATTAATACTTGTATACGACAAAGTATAATGTTTCTAACAAGTTGCTACCATGAGTCTGTAACCGCTGCTTGACAACAAAACCTCTGACAAAACACACTCATGATTTACCATGAGAAACAATACACTCATGTTTTACCATGAGAAACAATACCGCGCGCTTCATCGACGCCGGAACAATAACAAATAAAAGGAACGGATCGTCACTCGCTTGTCTTGGGTTGTAATTAACAACCACGAGTGGGGTCGTCAACCCGTATCTTATTCATACACGACTTCCTCGCTCACACGAGATTAACGGTTACAGGTCAGAGGACTTCCACTAAGATCCCCAATCTTAGTTGATGAATGAGGTAGCTCATGTAGACTTTGACGGCGTTCTATAGTCCTAACAACAAAAGCATTTTCATGTCTAAAACCCTAAGTTACTAGACTATGCTTTTAAACAGTACTCCTAACTTCATAACATTTAGGCAGTACAACAACTATAACTTGAAGTAAAACCAGGTTTTATCTTAACATAAAACCAATAATAATAACATATAACATACGAGGTTTTATCTTGACATAAAACCAACAATAACAACGTACATATCAATTAACATATAGAACTTCCGAGTATAACTCTGGAACTATATCGCACACAAAATATATATAGAATCCTAAGTATAACTCAAGATCCACATTAGTATACTACTATAACAATAACATGCTAACAACTTTACGATAGTTGTATATTTTCATATACGAAATAACTATATCCCGGTTATTATAACTATCTACGTTGATACTAATATACTATCATATAGACATAATAATAACGTATATGCAATATTTAGCATGCGTTTTCCCTCGAAATATTAGAAAGTGGGGTCGTGAAACTCACCTTAATAGCGTGATTTTATGTAATCTAAGCAGAAACGGTCAGTGTACGAGGTCGTCGGGGCTCAGGAGGCAAGAGGGCTTTAGCAATCGAGAGAGGAGAAAGGGAAATGGTGTAAGGAAGTGTCAAGGTCGGACCTGCTATTTATAGGAAGGATTTTGGACCCTCACGATGTGAGAAACTCAATGTTCACGTCGTGAGTTTGGAACTTATCTCTTCGTAGACTTGCCATCCATCTTCTAGCTTCCAAAGGTGGCCATATGACTACTCACGTCGTGAAAAACTCCTTGTTCACGTCGTGAGTTTGGATCTTATCACTTCATAGCCTCGTCACGCACCTTCTAGATCCGACATGTGGCAAAATGAATCCTCACGTCGTGAACATCTATGCTCACCTCGTGAGTTCAGTCAGATTAGGGTGTCTGACAGCTGTATCTTCGGAAGGTCGTAACTTTTGCATACAAACTCCGTTTTTGACGTTCTTTATATGTACGCGTACGTATTTACAAGTACTACAACTCTCTTTTAGACTCCAATAGATAATTCTAAGTCTATTTTAAATTCCTCTTGTTATAAAGATTTTATAGTGTTCGGTTTATCATAACTTCTTCACGCGAAGTCAGATTTAGATGTTCTCTATATTTTTGGAATCGTATGGATGTATACTTTGATTTATACTATAAATTATGTATGAAAGTTAATATTTATATTAGAATTATCATGAAATACATAATAAGTTTACTACATTACTATTTTAACAAAATCACATTACATGATTGGTATAATCACATGTGATTGTTATTGACCTATTTTGACTAGTTTTACAGTCGTGGTCTACTCCGAAGTATTGATGTTCTACTAATGTGTTGTTGAATTATGGATGTGCCACTAATGATCATGATGCGCCACTTGAGCATCATGATGCTCCACTAGGTGGCTTGATGTGCTACACATGTTCCTGGTGTGACACAAGTGTTACTGATGTGTCATGATATTGCTTGATATGCCACGTGTGTTCCTTATTTACCCCGACATCGCTTGATATGCCATCACGGCACCTCGACAAAGTGGCATGCACAGGAGATGCCACCAAGGGAGAGGATATGCCACACTACAAATAAAATGACGTATAGTGGCATAATTTTTTAGTGGCTATTAATTTTGTGCCACTATTGTTATGTTTTAGTGGCACATCTTAAAGAAAAAAAAACACGCTCAATCACAAAAATGAAAGGAGAGATACGTCGAAATTTTTTAAAACCCCCTCTTTTATCCCCAAAATCTTAAAGAGGGAAAAAGCCCTCGCTCACATGAAAATCAGAAGCACCCTAATCAATTACTCTCTATCTCTCTTCTCAATTCTACATATCACCATCCCAAAACTCATTCCATTTTCTCCTTCCTAAACGATACGGTAGCAGTCCTGAACGAAAGTCACCTTTTTCCCTTCTTAAAATAAATTCATACCGCTCTTTCTCTCTCTTCTTTGATACGGACATAGTGGAGGGAAGGGGAAGCACGATTATGTTATAGAGGTGGCCGTAAGGGAAGTGGTTGTGAACGGAGTGACGATCTTGATGGCCACAACAGTCAATCGATGATTGTATATATGGATTCTTTCCATCTCAAAATTCTTCTCAGTATCCAGCCCTAACTTCATACATTGCCGGAAAATCAGGAGCTCTGAGCATATCAACGACCCATTTAGGGTGAAATTCTTTCTAAGTTTCTTTTGGCTGGCGAACAGAAGGTAAGATTTTTGTTAATTTCTCTATATAATTTTAGATGTTTGTGATTATGATGAAGAAGATCCAAACGTGTCGACGGTGACCCACACATGCTTCTCGACGGTGACGCATCCCCACCATCGAACGAATACAGGTTTCCCGGCGACGGGGATGCAACCCTAGATCGGACCAGCACATGCTTCATAATAGATGTGAACTTACAAATTGCTTATCTCTCTTGGGAAAAAGGAATCACGGAATGGTAATTTTTTTTCTATTCATTGATTAATTCATTCCATTTTCGAAATTTAAAGTTTTGTAGCAATCTAAAAACACTTTCTTTTTCGTTTTGTTCAGGAAAGCTATATATAGAAAGGAAGGAACGAATGAGGAGGAAAGAGATACAGAGAATATGGACAAGAGAGATAGAAAGATAACTGAGATCTCACTTCCAAGATGGATGCGGTTCTTATTTTTGTTGTCCTTAATTTTTGAACAAATATTCACAGGTTTGTTTCTCATATCCCTAAATCACTTTGATTTCCTTAAATCACTTAGATTTATATAAAAGTAACGTCATGTGATTATCTTTAAAAATTGATTTAATTTTATGTATGTGGGTTTTGTTATAAGTCGTGATCTGATACGTGTTCTAGGGTGTATGTTGATTCTTATATTTGTTTGTGTATGTCTTTGGAACAATTGAGTTGTTTCTGAATCTATCATAACCTATATTTCTCTTGTATACTTTCATGATGTATTAGGTATTGTATTATGAATAAATGGAAGAGGAAAGAGTTGTGTTAAAACAAAAGAGGAGCCAATGAAATCTTGTTTTCATAGCCTATTTCATTTTATGATCCATTATATATATTTGTTTCAAGACTTTTAAGAACATGGTAATATAAACTATGGAGAAGACTATGATATGATCTATGAGTTATGCATCTGTTAAAAGTCTAACTAAGGACCAATATGTTTCTTTTATGTTAGATTTTTACATGTTTTGGCTAACATAATGATTTTAATAAGCCTAATTCTCATTTTCTTATTTTTTCTTTTAACTTCTTTGATTCCAATAAGCATGTACAACCTACATATAAGTTATAATTATTATTATTATTAATTTTTTTTATATTTGTTTGGTTCAGGATGGAGCACAATCACATGGAGTTGCTACAAAATCTCGCAATCCGTTTGATTTTTGTAATGTTGTTGATCTTGAAGTTAGGAACATCATGTTTTGAGTACTAGCACGATTTAGACTTATTATTTTTTCAAGACATTTGTGTTTTAGTTATTGAGAATATTGTTATAGGAAAAGTTTGAATTGAAGTAAAGATGTTGTGTTTTACATTTATTATCTTAATGGTCTTATTGTTGTTTTATATTTCATTTAAAATTGAAAAAATTGATTTAATTTATTAATATAATTTTTTATGTTAAAAAATGTCACTAAAAGCATGAAAAAAATTAATTATTTTTGTAGTTAAATAGTGGCATAAAAATAATGACACTAAAACCTACAAGTTCTTTAGTGGTATAATAAAAAAGTGCTACTAAAACCAAATTAGTCTGCAGCGGCACAACCAAAAAGTGTCACTAAAGGTCTTTAGTGGCAGCTCTTTTAGTGGCACTTTTTTTATGCAGCTGATTGCCAGGGGGTCTTTAGTTGCATTTTTCTGGTTTTTAGTGGCACTTTTTCTGTGCCACTAAATGTCATTTAATTTGTAGTGCCACTAAGTGATAAGATGTGCCACCAAGTGAGAAGATGTGCCACCAAGTGGTAGGAGGTACCACCAACTGTATAAAGGTATCACTAAGTGACAAGGGGTGCCACTCAATGATACATGATGTGCTATTGGTTTATTGATTGTGCCAATATAATGTCTCTGAAGGAGGAAGGTTCTTGAACCGTCTACATGGCATTCCATGATTGGTTGGAAATTACGGCATCCTCTTCATGGGCTAATTATGGATAGGTCACCCATGATAATTAGGTTTTCCCATGCTTTCCTATAAATAGATTCCTATCCCCACTCATTGTTCTTTTTGAGTGCGTGCTTGTGTGCATACATAAAAATTTCATGAAAGCAATCATTGTGAGGTTGAGAGCACATCTTTTTGCAGCAGTTAGTAAACAAGAAAGATTTTTTTTTGAGAGCTCAATTAAGATATAACATTTGTGTGTGAATATAATTGTTTTTGGAAACTTAATGAAATCATCTCTCTCTCTCTCTCTCTCTCTCTCTCTCTCTCTCGTTCGTCCGTAGATGTAGGTCACCTTGACCGAACCATGTTAAATATTGTGTTATTTTGATTTATGTTTTTCAAAAGTTTTATTTTTGCTAGTTTCACCGAAGTTTGTTTCATATTTGTCTGAAATGTTTAATTTGTTTATTGTTTTCCCAACAATATTTAAAATTTTAAATTATTTTTTAACGTTAAATTAATATAATTATAACTAATATATGAATTTTAAAATTTATAAGTATATAGATAAAAAAAATTTATAATGATATAGATAAAAATAAATTGTAGTTTTCAACTGATGTATACATAATCTTAAAATTTTTAAGGATATAGATAAAAAAAATTATACAGACACAGACAAAATAAAATTTTCCAATATAAGGAAGGGCTTATACAACATAAACGAATATACACATATATTGACTAATACACATAACATATCTCGAATCCAATGTATCATTGAGATATAAAATGAAATTGTGTTTATGAACTCTCCAAATACACGGACTCATTGATTTAAAAACAAACATGATGCAATAAATATGTTTTCATTTCTTCAACTGTTGTGCAAACTTTGACAATGACTCCATAGAGGACCCACCGTTAATTAGAGCTTTAATGGAAGCACCCTTTAGTTCATTCAATCTTTGAGAAATCTTCTTTCCTTCACATCCCTCCATTAGCTCCTTCACAACTTTCTCGATCATCTCTTTTCCAACCAAACCATTCTCATCAGTCTCAGCTCTTAAAGCCAAGCAAAGCGCTTCAGTCATCATTTTTGCATTCATATGTTGCTCTGCATATAGAGGCCAAGCAATCATTGGCACCCCGTGAACTACGCTTTCTAGAGTAGAGTTCCAACCACAATGAGTCAAAAACCCACCGGTTGCCTTGTGACTCAGTATTTCGATTTGTGGTGCCCATGATGATACAATTAAACCTTGTTTTACAGTCCTGGCCAGAAACCCTTCTGGTAAAAACCCTAAAGGGTCAGTCTCGCTAGAAGCAGTAAAATACGAAGCATTTGAAGCGTTTTCATCAGGGCTTCTTACGACCCATAGAAACTTGTGGCCACTCATCTCTAACCCGAGGGCTAGCTCATGAATCTGAAGTAATGAAAGGGTCCCACCGCTTCCAAAAGACACAAACACCACAGATCCATCTGGTTGACTATCCAACCACTTTATACAATCATGCGGGTTCGGCTCATTGCTTGGAACTGACTGAATCAATGGTCCAATTGGGTAGATAGGTGTTTGACCAGCAGCTCCGGTATACAAAACTCGAAAGGTTTCTTCTTCTAACTCCTCAAAACTATTCACCAAGATTCCATCAAGCAAAGCCAATCGCTTGGAAAGCAAAAGGTATCCTTTGTATACTTCATCGGTCCGGATATGAACTGGATCCATCAGGTCACGTCCGAGAAAACTAACCGAGCCTGGTACTTTAACTGGGTCGGGTAAGTCTTTATACTCGCAAGATGTTTCTTCATCAAGCTTGGGCAATATAAAAGTAAAAGACAAAACCATGGCATTCGTTGGAAAGAATAAGAAGTTAAATAAGCAAAACTCTTTTGCAACTTCCATTGAATCATGTCCAAACATGTCAAACACTAGAGCTACCAAGTTGGTTCTTGATTTCAAAGAAATTAGAGCATCTCGGAGACTTGAAAGACTCGATCGCATGATAAATGAAATTAGAATCTCAGGACGGGCACCTTCTGGTAAGCCCTTCACGTTTACAGATGGAAGAAACAAGTGGTGTATGTTTTCCGGCAATGATTCAAGAACGGATATTTGAGCTTTGGGAGGAGTGCCGGTAGAAGGGATGATGATAGTCACTGAGATGGGGTGTTCTTTGACAAGTCGCTTAGCGAACTCTGCCATCGGTATGAGGTGACCCATTCCAGGACTAGGAAGAATGGCTATATGATATGTTTTCTCCATTGTAATCGAGAAAATTCAACTGCGACTGAATTCACTCTCTCTCTCTCTCTCTCTCTGTATATACCGCAGTTCATCTAGGCCTTGTTGGGGAAACTTATATTTATATTTTATATAGAATTATTTTCAAAAGAATGATTATTTAATTGATTCGGTAAATTATATGGTCGTAAATCAATTGGAATCTTTCAATCTCCTCATCTGGATCTCAACAACTTCATGTTATATATATATATATATATATATATATATATATATATATATATATATATATATATATATAGAGTGAGGTTCAATAGAGAACCATAATTAACCAAAGAACCAATCGTGAGCGTCGGAAATCATAACGATCAACGGCCAAGGAATAGATGTTCACTTTTACATTGGACGCACAGACACCGGATTATACCATAAAATCCACCATTTACAAAAAAAATTCACCACTTTTTTTCGTATAAAATTTTTTTTATGCCATGTTTTTTATCAAAAAAAAAACCGAGTATACCGTTGTTCGCGATTTTTCGTCCTCTTTTCATAAAGATCCATGATGATATATAAAAAACGAACTTTTTTTTTCGAAAAAAACTCACTTCATTTTCTTTGATGAAAAAAATTAAGGTCTATTTTTGATAGAAAAAAAATTAATAAATATATCAAAATTCATATATTTTGTACTTTTTAAACATAGATTCATATTCATGTTAAAAAAAAAAAAAAAAAAAAAAACGATATTTCAGTTCAAATTCACATTGTGAACCTGTTCAGATTCATATTATAAACATGTTCATATTCATATTGTGAACCTCCTCAGATTCACAGTGTGCATAATAATAAGTCAGATTCACAGTGTGAATCTGAACTGATCGGAGTTTTTCCACATTGTGAATATTAAAATTTGAAATATTTACAGTTTAGATTCACAGTGTCAATCTAAACTGATCGATGTTTTTTTTTTGTGAACCTTCTTAGATTCACAGTGTGCATAATATTAATTCAGATTCACAATGTGAATCTGAACTGTTCGAGATATTTCATAATGTGAATGTTAAAAATTAAAATATTTACAGTTTAGATTCACAGTGTGAATCTACACTGTTCGAGGTTTTTTTTTTTTTAAATCGGTGTTGATGTTTATTAATAGAGTACAAAAAATTAATATTTTTGGTATAATTAGTTTTTTTTTATAAAAATAAACTTAAATATTGAAAAAACTAAGAAAATCAAGTGGGTTTTTTTCGAAAAAAAAAATTCGTTTTTTATATATCATTATGGATCTCTATGGAAAGAGGACGAAAAATCGTGCACAACGGTATATTCGGTTTTTTTTTTCGATAAAAAACTTGGCCTAAAAAAAATTTTAAATGAAAAAAAAGGAAGTGGTTTTGTTATAATCCGGTACATGTGCGACCATTATAAAATTTTACAATCTTTCCTTTTGCCGTTGATCGCTTTAAATTCCGACGCTTTGGATTGGTTCCTTCGTTCCTTAATTAATAATGGTTCTCTATTGAACTTTTCCCTATATATATATATATATATATATATATATATATATATATATATATATATATATATATATATATAAAACCGATTTAAAATATTTACAGTTTAGATTCACAGTGTGAATCTACACTGTTCGAGTTTTTTTTTTTTAAATCGGTGTTGATGTATATTAATAGAGTACAAAAAACTAATATTTTTGGTATAATTAGTTTTTTTTATAAAAATAAACTTAAATATTGAAAAAATTAAGAAAATGAAGTGGGTTTTTTCTAAAAAAAAAAAGTTTGTTTTTTATATATCATCATGAATCTCTATGGAAAGAGGACGAAAAATCGTGAACAATGGTATACTCGGTTTTTTTTTTTTGATAAAAAACATGGCCTAAAAAAAATTTTAAACGAAAAATCCGATTCTATTAATTTTAAGGGATCATAGATTCTATTAATTTTAAAAATCCGATTTTACAAATTATAATTCTTTTAATTCGGACATTCTGACATAA